AGGAGGCAGAGCTGGACCCCAAGGTTGAGGAGCTTTCACCCAGCCCCTAGAGCCTGGCACTTTGAACTTGAACTTAAAGCCTCCAAATTGTAAGAACAAACTCCTGTTTGTTAAGGCCATCCCATTGTGGTATATTCCTGTCAGAGCAGCACTAGGGAACCAGAACACCCTCTAAAGTGGTCCATGTGACCGTCAATGTTAGCTCTGTCAACAGCCAGCAAGGACCCAACACCTGCCGACAGCCACGTGAGCAAGCTTGGAAGGGGGCCTCTCCCACAGAAGCTTATCGAGCCTTCAGAGAAGACCACAGCCCCAGCCAACATGCTGATGGCAAATCCTGAGCCAGGGGGAGCAGCTACTTTGCACCCAGATTCCTCATCTTCAGAAGACGAGAGATAATAAATGTGTGTTGCATCACGATGCTAAGTTGGAGGGTAATTTGTTGCACGGCCATAGATAACCAACAGAGAGGCCCAAAGAGATTGAGTGAGCTGCCCCAAATCACTCAGCTCCTAATCCAGGAACGTTGGGCCCTAACTTGGCCTCTTTACCTTCCCCTTGCAACTGGAAGGGATGTACGGAGAGCACTGTACCAGGAGAAGTTTAAACCCATGGCCTTCAGGTCGATTCTGGCTCTCAGCAACCCTACAGGACAGAGAAGAACTGCTCCGTAGGGTTTCCAAGACGGTAATGTTTACAGGAGCAGACTGTCACATCTTTCTCCCACAGAGTGGCTGGTTGGTTTGAACCACTGACCTTTTAGTTACCAGCCAAGCACTTAACCACTGCACCACCTGTGAGAAGTTACAAACCTAAAATACCATGGACTGGTCTCAGGGTAAGGTACCCACCTGTTGTCAAAGAAGGCACGGATGATTTTGGATCGGATCGGATTGAGCTCCAGGTCAGGGACGTTGTTGAAGTTCTCCTTGCTGGTTTCCAAGGAGGACAAATGCCGGGAAAAGAGCAGCAAGAGAAAGCAGATGTCAGACAGCCTGGTCCTCGCTCACTGAGCTGCGCTGTCATCCCTAGCAGGTCCCACGAGAACAGCCCAGAGTTACAGAAAGGACTGGGCTATGTTTTAGCTCTGTCTGCTTCCCTTACCTTTAGCCTGGGGTTGGGG